ATCCTACCTCGCCAACCCCCCGAGCGCGCCCGCGAACCCCCAGGGCCGGGCAGCCTCCCGCGCCTGGCTGCCGAGGCCCGTCGCAACTCGGCGCAAGTCCATGGTGAGGGGCGCCAGGGAGCGGGAGCCGCCGCGGTCAAACCTCGGGGTCGAAGGGAGGCTCCCAGGGGGCTGCACCCCCGTGCCCCTGCCCTTTCTTCCTGGGGGCGCGGCGCGGCTCCTTCAGCGCCCGGGCGCGGGTGGGGCTGGAAGCGGGAGAAGGTGCGGGCCTGAGGCCGGCCGGGCTTTGGGAGGCTCGCGCGCGCCACTGTGTGGCCGAAAAAGCTTCCTCCTCCGCCCTGTGCCGCCAGGCTCGTCACCAGGCAGGGGAAATGCTGGGTGCTTGGTATTTGGAGGAATTGAGGACCAGAAAAGATGAGGTAGCAGGACTTGCACTTCCAGTTATTTGCACTTTGGAGAATGAAAAAAGACGCCGGTGACAATAATAATGATAATAATAACAAGGCGGAGGGAAGGGGGACTGCTTAGGTGAATCCAAATGCTCTGAAAAGCGGAAGAAGAGGCCAAGGGGCACTGGTCTTTTTTCTAAAAGGCCTTTGTCTTTTCTAAAAATCCACTATTTTGTGAAGAAGTTTCAGAGGAAGGTATTGGATCATTTAAAGTTTTATTTGAAAAACATCAAAGCTCTTAGGGGAAAATAAAATACCTTGGACTTCTGTTTCCCGAAGCCTGGATTTTAAGGTCGCACAGTCACCTCCTCTCAGAACAACGCATGGCCTCCCTAGGCAAGCTGAAATATGGCCGCGTAGGCAAGGAGACTGCCGTGATCCTCTGGGTCGCAGGCTACCACGTGTTTACCAGGTCGGCTTTTTATGATGGTAATTTCTGGAAGGATGGACTCTAAATCCCTGGGTTCTGTGTTTAGGCTACCCTCTTGTGAAGGCCTGTGGAATCTTCTCTGAGCTGAAAATGTGCCTTTGTCTAAAGAAGTGGATGCACTTGACCCTAGGCATGTCATTTCTGGGGTGGAGAAAGGGTCTGAAAACGCTGGGATCTACCCCCACCGTGCTTCAATTAGCCAGAGTGCAGAGGAAATCAACTCCATCTGGTAGATTGAGGGTCTAAATCAGAGTCCCTCCAACAGCCAGTGTGTGTCCTCTGAAAAAAGCTGCTACCTGTTAAAAGATGATCATTTGGGGACTTTGAGACCTGGCTTCCTGGAGAGCAAGGAAAGGTGGCACTGCTGGCCTCTGACCAAGACAGCCTTAACATACCCCTCAGCTTGACTAAACCTTAGATGGGTTTCTTCCTGGCCCCTAACCTCCCTTTTCTCAGAGCGCTTACTTAAGCAAACTTGCTATTACAAGTTCTTTCTCTGATCCTTTGAGTTGTAAATCTTCTCCCATACTCTGGAGGGTTTTACAATCTAGCAATGTCTTTCTCAGGGACCTGGGAGGCATCCCTTTGAAATGTAATCATCAAGGAAAATAGCACCCTGCCCTGTCTTCTAGTCTCTGTGGAAGGCAGGAGCCTAATTTCAATAAATTGCAATTAGCAAACATAGATGTCCTCAGCACATTGACCAGCCCCCACCCCAATATCCTCTAGTCCTTTAGCTCACCTGTCAACCCTCCCTCATCCTGTTCTGATGGAATTGCTTCAGTCTTCCTCTCCTCTATTGCAATAATCTTGAGTAAAGCCTTCCTTGCCTGTTTAACTGTGTCTGATATAATTTTTCTTTGACACTTCCCCTTCTCTCATGGCCACAGATGACTCTCAGCACAGTTCCTAAGACCAGTTTAGGCACAGGAAGGGAAAATGCAAGTCAAAAAAATAAGAGTCCTGTCTCTGTTACTTCTTAGTTCTTGTCCTTGAACAAATCTTCTAACCTTACTGGCCCTCAGGCAGCTGATGATAGGATGTATGTGAATTGTTTTAGGCAGTCTTCCTACAGAAATACTACCTTATTATTACTGATATTATGTCTGGGCAGCCCCTTCTCTGGAAATAGGGACCACCTCTGTTTATTTCTCCACCTCAGGTGTGCTCTTCAGGACTCTTATTCTAAAATGAAACAGCCAGCCCCCTTCTCTGCTAACTCCCTGAGATCAATTAACACCCAAGTAGATATTAGCAGGCAGTTAGATGCCTGAGAGAAGAAATTGGACTTGTGTTGAGAGAACAAGGCAGAAGGAAACCAAAGAAAAATTTCTCTACAAATTTATATATATATAGTGGCAGTTGCTTATAATTGGGTTAGACAACTTTGATGAGGTTTTAATGTTTCCAATTTTGGTCATTGATTCTTGATAATTACTGAATGAATAATGTTGCTTCATGTCGCTAAGGTCATATATGGTGTAGTTAGGAGCTTCATTTGGCTGCTAAAAACAGAAATTTGAGAAACAGTCATTTAAAGAAGGCACTTATTTTGTCTCACATAACTAGTATTCTTTTTTTTTTTTGTCCTTTTTTGAGACCAGCTGCACCGCGCTCAGCCAGTGAGCGCTGTGAGTGCACCAGTCATCCCTATATAGGATCCGAACCTGCGGCAGGAGCGCTGCTGCGCTCCCAGCGCTGCACTCTCCCGAGTGCACCACGGGCTCGGCCCACATAACTAGTATTCTAAAGACAGGCAGTTGAGGGCTCCTCTCTGCTCAGACATCCTTGGCAAGGTTTCCTCATGTCCATGAGATGGCTGCTGGAGCTCCAGCCATTTATCTACATTTTGGGTAAGAAGAAGGTAGGAGCAAATGGCTAAGGGGCACATTCCCCTTTAAAAAGATTTCTTGGTACTATAACCCAGTGAATCTAATTAATATCCTAATAGCCAGAGCTTGCCATATGACCACTCCCTAGCCACAAGGGGAGCTGGAACTTTTTTTTTAAGTTGGACATACTAATTTCATAAGTAAAATCAGCGTTGTCTTAATAAGAAAGAAGAAAATAGAAATTGGGTAGGCAACTAACAATATTTTATGCAAACCTTAGCAATGTCTTATGCAGACCTGGGCTCTGTGTAAGATACTATTTAGTATCTGAAAACCAGCCATATATGACCCTAAGTCATTAAGCCTTGATGGGTTTATCTCATATGATGTTTTGAATCCCCTCTTTTCCATCCTGGCTCACTGTTGCCCAGCCCAGGTTCTCACTAGGTCTCACCTGACCCTTCTCACTGGTTCTTGTGACTTCAGCATCACCTTTCTTGAATCTGCTTTTCACACAACTGCCCAAGTGAACAGTCTAAAAAAGACAAGTCTAGCTTCTTTGCTCATAAGGTAGATTGAATTATTGCTCATAATTCTAGCCTCCCTATAAAATTAATGCCACTCTCCACCATGTGGCTTTGCAGCAGGGGGCAGGTTTTTTTCCCCTCCAGAAGTATTGTGCTTGGCCATGTGACTTGCTTTACTAATGGGATGTGGTGCTCCTGATGGCATAGCCCGTCTCTGATGAGGTCTCAAGAGGCATCTGTCTGTCCACTCACCCTCCTGTGCATCCACACTTCACTAGTAGAAGGGTTCACTTTGGGTATCTGCTGTTCCTTCAGTCTGGGCCCCATACTCGGCCATCCCAGCAAACCTGAAGACCTGCAATCTGAAACACAAGCCACCCTCACAGACTCACAGATATGTGTGTGATGGTAGGTTAATGTTGTTTTAGCCACTGAGTTTTGGGGGCGCTTGACTGTGCAGCATTATTCATGCAACAGTTAGCAGATACAACTCCTTTGCCTAAATCCTTTTGGTGCCATCTCAGCACCTCCCACAGAGTGAAGCCACATTTCTTAGCAGAGCACATAAGATGGGCACAGTCCGGCCCCTGACTACTTCTCCAGTTCCACCTCCTACCATGTCTTGCCATATTTTATACTTTTCCAGGGCTGAACTGTTTGTAGTTCTTTATCAGCACTCTCTGTACCCCTGTGCCCCATCGATGCTATTCTCTCATGCATGTAATGCCTTTCCTGCCTTTTCCCCTGAACAATTCCCACAAG